AGAGTGGTATAATGTGTAATATACAATGCACATTTGTATATGCTTGATTTACGATATTTATACAAGTTTCTGCTAAATTAAGTCCCTGGTGATAAAACTGATAGTGATGCCAAGAATATTGCAATGGAAGTATAAACATTTGTGTAGTAATGTTCAGATAAATATAGTGTGTTGTTTACACAGTAGCATAAACAAGAAGACAATGTTCAGACAATGTATAAGTTGGTAAGTGTGTAGATGAATGATAGATGGCTGTTTCATATGGTGCTTTAGGCCTTTATAGATCAACTACACATCTACATGTATCTATAAAGTGTGCCAGCAATAAACAGGAAGTGTTTTCGATATGTTCGTAATGTTATTTCTTGTTATGCATTTTCCAAAAAGTTACAATTCAAATCGGGAAATTGACTGGAGGTGAGGATTTGAGCAAAATACTTTTTAGTAACATTAACAGATCTGGACTGGAAATTCAGAAATGGGACGAAAACATCTTGGACCTCTGTTTTGATTTCTGCCAGAAATAGTAAATCATTAGATTAAATCCTCTGTCATTTGCCCACGTGCATGGGAGGTATTATGTAGGGGTTCAGAGATTACAAGAGAGTACAAAACTACATGTACTAACAAATTGATAAAAAAAACTAAACAAATGAACTGGAAAAAATAGATGTCACAGTTACATGTATTTTAAGATCCAGACACTATTTTTCAACTTGATAATTATAGTCAAACAAAAAATATTTAAAGAGAGGTATATTGACTGCATAATAAGTAGAATGATCGATATGGGGATTAGTTGACATATGAGCTTGGGAATTATAAAAAATATGCTTATTCTAATTTGAAGAAGTGTCAGTTTTAATCGCATTATTTTTATGTCAGTATTTAGTTAGTCATGGGAATGATTGAATTATATAGGATATTATTCAAGACATACCATGCAGGCCTGTAGCCAAGGGGGATCAGGGGGTTAGCTCTGAGCACTTTTCAAGTGAATGTTGTCCAGAGTTGTAAAATATGAACTCCTCTGGAACCTTTGGAAAAGTGACCTCCCCACACTCTTGGCAAAAGCTGGCTACGGGCAAATATGGGTGAAGTCATAGAAAACAACACTGAACAATGTTTAATAAGGTTAAATGAATGTGGGTGGGTTTGTAGTTTTATGAGGGAAAAACATGGATCGTTATAGCTAATCATATAATATAGAGACAGTGAAATGAAATATTCCTCTGATTATGAATTAATCCAAAGATTTATGTACATTCACTCAGATCTGTTTAATAATATATTGATTCACACTACTGACTTCAAAACTTCCTATGATATACTTAACTGATAATTGTGAATGATTTTGATTATTTTATAGTTTGTATAGAACGCAATAAGTCTTCAGTGTGTTCTACAAGCAGCTTTAACAACATACACATATAAATCTCCCATTTCTCCATATAAATCTCCCATTTCTCCATATAAATCTCCCATTTTCCATATAAATCTCCTATTTCTCCCTTAGGAGCATGTTGTGCAATCAACCTTCACAGACCAAGTACAGTTACACTTGTTTTACTGGTTACAATTGATTTATGAATGCAATAACAGGCTGTCATTATCAGCTTGTTATTTTTCCATCTTTATCACACTCTTTAACATTATTAACAACTGCATTATTGTCATGAGTCCAATTCCATAATAGCGATGATTATGGATACTTATGGGTACGGATGTATAATTATTTTTATTCGTAATGGTATCCTGAATCCGATTGGCTTCTCTGATTGCCCTCTGATTATTGCATATGATTTCAAGTTACAGAACATAAATATGTTAATGCTGTTGTTGCCAGGGTTGGTTGTTCTATTGTTTTTTGATTGACTTTGACAACGGTTGATTTCATTGCATGAATTTCTTGACTGTTGTTTTCATCCCAGGTCATTTTGACTAAAAAAGTGTTGTCATTTTTTAAATTTATCCAATGCAAAATAAGAATGTTAACTCTGGATTCTCGCGAGGTATCCCATGCTGATTCTAAAATTACCAAAAAAACTCAGAAGGGGTGGATAAAGGGGACAGATTGTTAGCTATTCTACCATACTTTCGGAAAATAATGCTACAATAGAAAATCACTTGTTCTGATGTAATTCATGTTGCTGGCACTTGAAAGCAAATGAAGTGAATAAATGTAAACCAGAGTACTGAATTAGAACATTTTCTTACATACTTAATTCCCTCTGTCTATTTAAATCATATACTACTTATAGAAGTTAAGAATGTTAGATAAATCTATTAAGAAAATATCAGAAGCACCATATAATACTGGAAAATCCAACACAAGGTGGCTATAACCTGCATGGTTGACCATTTGGACTTGTTTATCAAACAATTTTACATTCATTTAAATATTATCATAGCCACTGTTTTAGTTCTTGTTGAAATATAAGGTGTGTAATTTTTATTGACTATTACTTGACTTATGACTTGAAGACAATAGTGTAAGAAGTTCAGTAAATCAACATGCTTCAACATGTAAACAAATCTGTGTTAAGCTCACCTGGCATTATGAAATCAAAACTTCCTTGATACCCCGAGCTCTTAGAGGAATTGAAGAACACGTTTTAAGAGCAAATACAGTGAAAATAGAGGATGAAAATGATTTAATGAACGGATATGAAGTTTAACGTTGAGGACAAGGAAAAGTATCGAACATTTGAAACTTCCTTAAAACTTTTAATACAAATTGAAAGTGACTCAAAATAATGCAAGTGCAATGTACAGATATGCTGTTATCACATTATTACTTGTGTTTCATCAACTCTGTTTTAGCACATCCCATAGGATAAGATATAAAGCCTGACGTATGAGAAACTACATTTATACAAAGTATTCAGATCATAAAGTGGAGAAAGCAATAAAACTTATTTCAACATGCATTATATTAATATAACATATACATGTATTTGATATTGCTCCACTCTCTAAATAACTGTCGGGTTTTCAGTTTTTGGTAGGTACCCTTTGTACTAATTTGACCGTGTCTCTAAAAGGGGGCATTATCTACAGTACAATTTGTAAGTTACAAACCTTTGGGTGTCAGGGTAGGTACTCATTAGGTATACTGAAAATTATGTATATTCTGTAGAGTGTGAAGACTGTATAAATAGCAAGATATTCTATTGTTATAATGGAAGGTTTGGCTCCATTGTTTTAAGAGAACTTGTCTGAGAATATGCAGAATTATTTCCCTCTAGGGATTAACTCTCCTCTCCTTTGTGGCTTTTACTTGCCTGATTTAGTATAAAGATATAGAAAATAGTTATAAAAAGGTCCCTGGAAAAACAATGACGGTTATCCCTGGGGGACATAATTACAATTTCACATAGAAGTTCTCCTAAGAATGGGTAGTACTTAACATCCCTAATACTATAAATATCTAGCATTCACATGTGCTAAAATTACATGTTATTAATTAATAGTAAAGATTCAGGATCTGATTATCTAAACAATTATCCATTAGGGCAATGATAATAAATGCATTAATGGCAGCTCCACAGTTCAAGAGGAAGGGTCCGCCAAACATGAAGATGTTTATCACGAACTTGTGTATGTAGAGTTAGCTAAGATATATTAATAATGTTAAATAAAAGAGATAAGTATAACCAAAGTCCTGTCAGCCTCTTCAAGTTAAACCATTTATAATCGCATTCAAGAGGATCTGCCTACATCTAATTCGGACCAACATTGATAGTCTCTCTCTGTAGTGAGCCAGTGTATTTAGCATTGTGGGATTTATCTGTCACATTTATTGTAACAAAGACTGCTTCTGATTGTGTGCTGTCTAGAAGGTTTGTATTAAACGTAGATATTTTTGGTATGGAAGTGACTTTCAATTCGGGGACTTCTCATGATTCATTTGAAAAAGAACAATGTTTTTTTATTATATTTATCAGAGAAAGTAATGTCCATACCAAGAATATTGACCCTAGGAATTTATATATTAATAAGAATACATTTTAAATAGTGGTGTATAAACAATGCGTTCTGACTATTCTAGGTTTTTAAATGAGTGGTGAATAAATGTTCTAATGTGTCTTCTTCAAGATGTATTTTTACTAGAGATGAGATTGACAAATAAGTAAAATTTCACTGGCGTTTATATATACAGTATATAATATTTTCCTATGTTCATTTTTTATTCAAGTTAAAAAGAAATAACATTCATCCAAGATAATAAACAAGTTTTGCATAAGCTTTTCTCTATAGAGTTTTGCTTTGCTTTTCTTGCTTTGAATGTCCAACGGTTTCAATATCAACCAACAAGAACTCATTCTGAATCTACAGGTTGCCAACTAATATACTTTTGTTATCTATTTTAAATTCTAAATTAAGCATCATGAATCTGTAAATGAATTGTTCTTTCTCTTAAAGAGCTATTTGAAAAAGACTGATTTGCAGATCTATATCTATGGGACTTTTCTAGATTTTGTTGGTAGAAATTAACTCCAGACTGTATTGTTAAAATCATCAAACTTTTATTTCACCAGAATGTACTGGCATCTATCATAGTTGAATAACTGACCATTTGTATATATGTATTTATTTTTGTTTATCTTAGAAGGAAAGCTGAGAAAATGTTTGGAAAAGGATCCCATAATGTTACATATAAAGTGTAACGAGGATTGCATACATTAAATGTGTTGCATAGAACGAGAAGATACCCTTTGCTCATCAGCTATAATGCTAGCCTCTGACTAGGATCAGTGATTAACATTTTGGTATTTTAGCAATCAAATGGCACCAAGATCTGTGCTTATATTATATGGAAGTTTTATATACTTGTTTTACCACTTAATGAATTGTGGTTAGCAGTAGGATGCTCTGATTAACTCTCTTTGGTGCTTTTTGGTAATGTTGAATGTGAAGATATAGACAATTACTCTGTAAAGGGTACCATTGCCAGATGTAAGAAGGCTCACAGTAAGGTTCCTTTAATGTATTTCCAGATTGGTGTAGCTGCAAGGAACCTAAAGGACGGGGACAAAAGCCTCTAGATCATCATTAGGTATGTATCAACTTGATCATCCATTATTATGTCACTGCCAAAGATGTGACATATTGTTATAGTCTCCAACTTTTTGTGGCCAGTGTTTGGTGGTTGATGTTTTAATTAAGTTTTAAATAAGCCTTTGCCAACTTTGTATATATGAGCAGCTTTAACAGTCAGTGGTAATCCACTCTAGTGTCGCTTTGAAAAACGATTTTATGTCGCAAAAAAATCCTATTTTCGTTGTATTAGCCAAATTAGAAATAAAATGATCAATTCCACTCCCTCATTTCTACATTATATCTGCGCATGCTCGCATATTTAATTAGCACAACGAAATAAATAAATGGCCCCCGACAGCGAATTGTCAACTCGGGAGTTTTTCAGCTAATTTCTACATTTTTCGAAATGAGTTTCGTAATATGCATAGTGTCGAGTGGTAGAATGATGTTTTAGGAAACTAAAGGTGTTTTTTCGAGGGGGATGCGTAGGAGCTTGAATCTGAAGGGAAAGACACCAGGTCGTAACAATAATTCCTAAAAGATGATGGATTACCACTGACTGTTTAAGAACCTTATATAATGTTCATATATAATCTACACAAATAATATTTAAAATTTCGTGCAATGGGACTTATATAGTCGAAATAGAAAATTACATATATTTTAAAAGTGAATCATCAAAAAGCCAGGAAACAAAAATGCTGTAGCTTCAAGTCAATTTTTTAGAGTCTGATATTCAAAAGGCTCAGATGCTTTCACATATGATCTCTAGGCATTCAAACAATTTGCATGAGTTAAAACTAAGTCACTGGAGCATGGGGGAAACAAATGAAAGATTGCATATACGAGGGTTGTCCCAGAAGTAATGCACTATATGCTCTAACTTTCTTAAATATTCTTCAATTCAGCTGAAATTTTGTGAATATAACAATTGAAGTTTTATCTATTATATCCAGAAGTGTCAGCATCAAACATTAATATTAAGTCTTGATATGGTTGCTATAACAACATGGGGGTAGGGGTGGGCGGGGCAGGTACCAATTTTTCTAATTATGAAAAGATCCAAAGTGTTATTTTATTAATATTTCTTTCCTTTAAATGGTCAAAATGTTTAGGAAATTGTTAAATTTATTCAACATGATGTTAACCAAGTACAAATAATGACATTTAGCACTGTGATGTCATAATACCACATTTCAATAGTCACGAATTCGAATACAGTCACAGTCAAGAAATTGCAAAAATGGCTGCAATTATTACCTGAAAACAGAAGGCCTTGCGTTTGGTGGCCTAACCAGTGGTATTGCACCTATAGGTTGCAAAGATATGTGATGTCTCAGGTTAAAAGTGAAGTTCAGGTAGAACATTTCATAACCATTGCCATTATGTTCTTATTTTTCTTGAGGCTCATCAAATACCATTATTCCATTTATGTTTACTGTACATCCTCTAGTATATTAGAGTTGAATTAGAACCAGATACTATGGTTTCAAAGTACCCTGGGCCCCAGATACTGCAGGTGATAACTTGTAGATGGAGGTCTATTAAAGATGCAAACTCAAGACTTGAAAAGGGTAGTTACAAGGCTTATTGGCCATGATATTTTATCACAAGTTTTATGTTTGAACAGGTGATATTGTTCTTGTGCATTCCAACCCCTATAGTATGCAGACTTTTACATTATATAGTCTTGTATCTACCCTTTCCAATAATTTGATTTTCCCTCTTAAAAAGAGCATCACCCCTAGTCTGGGTTCTACTCCAAAAGTTTGACTATAAACTAGGGTTTGACTGCATCTCTTAATATCAGAGTCTCTTGGCATCAGAGTAAAGCCTCAGTCTCATTTGCTTGCTCTATGGCAGATTGGCAGGCATACGGAGGATGTAGTTTTACAAAATCAAAATTGAAAATCTACACTGTACAGCTTATCCCTATGTTTTATGCTGCATATTTCTCTTGATTTTGGGAAGCTACACCCACTGTATGGTTGCAGTAGATCAAATTTAACAATTTGACTCAGGCATTATACACCCCCTATCTGGGGTTTGATGATCAAATGTAACTGAGGCATTATACACCCCCTATCTGAGGTTTGATGATCAACTGTAACTGAGAAATTATACACCCCCTATCTGGGGTTTGATGATCAAATGTAACTGAGGCATTATACACCCCCTATCTGAGGTTTGATGATCAAATGTAACTGAGACATTATACACCCCCTATCTGGGGTTTGATGATCAAATGTAACTGAGGCATTATACAACCCCTATCTGTGGCTTGATGCAAGACTTATTTATATAGGTTTATATGTTAACTGATTTTGGTGCTCTTAAAAGAACAATACCCATGAGTGTTGCTAAACTGATTTCATCATGTTTGACAATATAAATGACTCTATTCATTAATAAATGTGCTATCATAGTGAACAAGAGATAAGCAGGTTTGGTTAGTATTGTTCAAGATAACGTTCTAGTGCAAAGGTATTGGATGTAAGTTTGGTGCGCTGTACCACCAGTTCATCACTTGGCCAAAATATTACACTCTTAATTCACATTTATTTCTCTCTTTTGCTCCATGACCTGAATAAAGTATATCATTTTCAGTTATAGAACACAGTTTAGAGGCTTAACCATATGGCAGTTTACTTTTCTCGTTGTTAAATCTTTTTGTCTTCTCTCTATTATACAGAAAAATATGTGTCTATCTTGAGATTTACGTATGGATGTATACTGTTCTCCCAGGTTCATAAGTACATTGATTATGTTGACAACACTGGAGTGGTCTTTGACAAGATAACATAAGAAAAAGACAATGTAGTTGCTTGAGTGTTCTTATAACTCTTATGTCCTATTGTCTCAGACAATTAACTGTGTCAGTGTCTAATTACGCATTGGTTTAGTTGCGCATTTGCATGTTTCTTCCCTGTTTCATGCCAACTAGACACAGCTTAACTCTAATTGTCTTTATAATCCCCATTGGCTTATTACTAAGCAGAACCGGCACACAACTTCCACAAAAGAGGTGATTACAATATTGGGAAAATATTTTTACGATTCTCGTTTGGTTTGAATAATTGAGCAGTCTTTTTTACATTGAGATTCAAACTCACATCATTGAAGAACTAAATAAAATAGAAATCCAGAATTGAGAATATATGTGATATAGGCTTTGAATTCTTCAATAGCTTTAGAATTGGGAGTAAAATGTTATTTTAATGGTCAGTTTCTCTTATTTATTATGCATCAGTAGATCCAAGAATCACTTGCTCAAGGAAAAGGTCTCTTGATGTTCACGTATTATTGTGTACACTTAATTCTGAGATAAACATAACTATGGGTCATTGTGACATCATCATCATCACGGTTTCTGCATAATTCCCAGGCATTACAATTGCTTATCCTATTAGATTTTCTCAGTAAGATTATATTACTTATTGTTTCTAATTAATGATTCAATAAAGTTAACTGCCCGAATTAGTCTTGCCCCAAGACCACTCTGACTGAGAAGAGGTAGTCTTGCTTAAGACCCTGGACCCCTCCCCCCTGGTCTATATGTTGTGTTGGTGAATGAAGTACATAATACAGGGGGAAGGTCCATAGTCTTGAAGCAAGACTAGAGAATAAGGGGGAGGGTGGGGAGTTTAATGTGAGACTATGCTCAAGTTTAACTTCATACATATATGCTATGGTATGGCAAGAGGACACGAGAGGAAGTGTTTGATTATTACAGGATATTATTTAAGATATATCAAGGTTTTTGATTTTTAGGATACTCTCTCTTGCTTTCACGTGCATATATGTTGAGATTGTTGAATATGAAATTTAAAATAGATTTTTTTATCCAAAAATCGTGTCATTTAAGTAACCTTAAGTAGGATAAACAGCTTACTTACATGCATTTTAAACATTTTGCATGATCATGTTTAAATCCATTTGTTTATCCCCCTGAGTTTTTAAACTGATTACATATGTGATTATATGTTTTTTGGCCACAGCTCAGCAGATAATGCTCAGTCCTGGGGTGAGTAAGTAATACATCCCACTTCAACAATAAAGTTTATGATCAAGAACAAGAAAGCAAGCTGGGTTATTTTGCAGAGCATGTAGTTAAAGTTTACCTTAACTCAGTTGGTGTTTTCTTTTATTTTTATTGAATTAATTTCTACGATCATGTTCACTTACTTCATGTCAAATTGTATATCAACACTTTAAATCTGATTTTTAGTTAGGCTCCCGCAAATTTTGAATTATTGAGCTTAAAGTATTATCCATAAAAATAACAACAGTAAATTAGATTTTCTGTGATTAAATTAAATTTTGACGTCCTTGATTTTAATCTTAATTTTAATTATGCAGTTTTCATAGTGTCAGTTTTCTCTTCCTGAGATATCTCTAATCAAAGGCTCCAAAGTTTTATACAGGAAGTGAGATAATTGGTTGACTTGATTACAATGCAATAAAGCATACAGGGAAAGGTGATAGACGCATGTTGATAGAGAAAGGTATGAAAATACGGTAGCATATGGTACTAAAGCCTACGTATAAACTGCTCATATTTTTGAAGACTACTTCCAGCTTATAATCAGAACAGATTAGCCTAGAATCGCTTATCTGACATGATATTATTCATAATAATTATTTGATAGATTGAGAAAATGAGGCAAAGTACCATCTTGGAGATCTAATGTATGAAGTTTCTTAGTAAGCATGATACTCTGTAATTATTTTCATTTTGAAAGTCGTTCTATATGTTCTTTGAAATGGTGCATACTGACGGGTGACTTTTCAATTTCCTTTCCCGAGAATTTGATTTGTGATTCACAATATTTCAAGAAATGTATCTTACATCATTAACAATCAATATTCAGTTTTCTTATTTTTTGCATATATGAAAGTCCGAGATGACCTTAATACGGATATTATGCAATGTTGACTATATTTCATCCTGCACTATGCTTACTATAAAGTAGGTTATCTCTCACTGATTGAAGCATGTCTGTTTCTAGAGATTAGTAGGATATAATTCTATTATGTAATCTTCTATCTTCCCCCTGGGTGGTTTGCCCTAGTTTGTTTTGCTTGTGATAATTAAAACCAAAAGAAACAGTAGGACTACCTACAATACAGGGACAGATTTAAAAGGGGGCATTTCAAACTCTAGTTTTCAACAATTCTTCTTCAGTAATATAGATCTTACCCAATATTTCATTTTTGTAATCATGGTTTGAAGGCTGCATGTACTTGAACCCATCAAAGTAATCATCACTAAAATATTGTTAAAGAAAAAATAATACATCCAGAACATAGGTTTGGGAAGTTAGTTGAAGCATCGACTTATTTGAGTCGTTGTGGTTAAAAGTATGTCCTTTAGTGCACCTCTTTCTACATATTCAACCTACAAGGTACATAATCATATATTTGCTAATTCTGTTAATTCTTCTTTTTCTAATTAATGCTTTTATTTATGATCTCTATTGATTAATCAACAATTATATTTGAATTTTATTTGAGAATGTGAAAGTCCTTTTGAAACGATCCCTTTGTGAACATGTGAATTTACATGAGATAAGAAGATATGCATCACACCAATCTATGATACATAATACATGTACTAATATATAAGAGAAGCAAGAAGGGGGCTAAGATTAAACATATTAAGCCTTCTATTATCACTTTGATCACACATGAGACAAGGATACCCCTTAGTCACTAACCCAGTGGAAGACTGTCAAGGAAGACATACAACAGTGCTCCAGCAAATCAGGATCAAGGCAAAAAGACAATTAATTGCCAGGACACATTATAGATATTGTCATTCTTCTTATGGATCTGCATTTTTATTAGAAGTAGTTAATATTTACAACATTTGCAGAGATCCAGGTAAGATGTTCATTGTTTTTTTCTTTTTGGAGTTTTTGTATTTAGTTGTTGTTATTACTACTTCTTAGGATAACATATACCATAGTTTAAAAGAGTATATATAGGTTTCAAGGATTTTTGTAAAGAAGGACTCAATATCACAAATTCAAAATGTGAATATATATATATATGACTATATGATACGTAAAAATTGTCAACCTGCCAAAGTGAATCATTTCAATAACTACTGATTAGAGTATCAAAAAATGAGGTGATAATTGATTATAGACTATTGTTTTCATAGTGATTACAAGCAATATTGTGCTTAGTGTCATAACAACAGGTTCCTATGATCATAGCTTTAACATCTTCTCATGAGTCTACTACATGCGGTTTTCCATCGTAGATCTAGCTAATTTCTTAACTGGCTTTTTCATATATAGGTAAATCTGGATAGAAATATTATATAGTATTATCTTTTTGGTAAATAGTGTGGATGGACTTTTAATTTGGGCTTTACTAGTTGAAAAGGTATGTTGTCTTTTGTATTAATTTAACTATTATGATGGATGTAGAGTCCATTTCACTGCTTCATTTCGTCAGTAGAACGGCAAAAATAAGAAATTGGGAGACTATTGTGCAATAATATATGGAAAAGTATATTCATAATGTACATGAATGACATTTGTATATTTCAGATTTTTTAGTTTTTTGTGCAATAAGCCTGTGCCGTCTTGTAATTTGAAGAATTTCGGCCATGTTAATCTTATTGAAAATAACATGGCAGAGAAACATCCAAATATAAGAGGCCACACACTTTATAAGCCAAACTAGAAGCAATCCAAGATATACAAATGTCATTCATGTACATTATGAATATACTTTTCCATATATTATTGCACAATGGTCGCCCAATTTCTTATTTTTGCCGTTCTACTGACGAACTGAAGCAGTGAAATGGACTCTAGTATAACAATTTGTTAAACAAATTAACTTGGAAAAGTTCAATCTTTTCTGTATAAAGTCTTATTAGTGTAATAATCTTTTCATAGAGACTTGAAAGTTCAAGTTGTTAACATTCTAAGAACTTATCTAAGAATAGAATTGATGAGGTCCTGAAGTATTATATCTGCTGACACTCTTAGATCTTAGGAGACATACCCTGCTATTATCAGCTCATACTCAGCCCTCTAACTATGATAGATCATTTTACAGTTTGGTATTCAGCCAATCAGAAAATGCAGATGGTCGTGCTAGTATGTTTACACATTTATATTACCATCTTTGAGAACAGTAGAATCTGTTTGGCTCATTGAGTTCATAGGTTTATCAGTAGCATTAAGAGTATGTGACAAAGTAGATAACTCTTTCAAGGGTAGGAAAGACAGAAAGAAGACATAAAAATGATGTGACATAACTGGACAAAGTGATTCAAGCCCTGAGATACTGAGAAAAGGAAGCAGGCAATTAGCCGAGCATCTCTATCGAATTTACCGACATGAAATTTCATTTAGCTTGATGAAAGGAGGTTAATAACATTTCTTTTGATATAAGGAGGGGTGCCATCTTCTTAGTCTTGAAAGGGGTGAAGATAAGTGAGTGGCTTTATGTTTTATTGGACTCAGTTGCGAATATGTCTGATGAAGGATCTCTTGAAGAGCTCTAATTGCCACATTAGGTTTACATTGTTGCCTGCATGCTCAGGATACATTTATCTTAAAGGAAATGTAATAGAAAAATAAATCTTTACAATGAATTATTTTTACTCAAGACTGGTGATTTTTATCCTTGGTAAAAGCTTGATTTAATGTACATGTATGTTCTTGATAATTCAAGAAAAGAGATAATTCCTTGAACCAACCAATATGCAGTATTCAGGGTGTGCCATTAGAACATCTTTACACTTTACATTTTATTTTACATAATAGGAACTTTAAGCTACCATAGACATCTCTCATTAAGGGCTATGGAAGCTACTTCAAAATGATGAAGATATGTAGGTAGATATAAATTTCAAGGCACGATATTTTCTAAAATGCCACCAGGTCTGTAAAATAGATCTGGTATATTAAGTGAAACATAATGTAATTTCTGATGATCGACTCTCACTTACTAAAAGGTAGATTAACTTCTTTACCTGATTAAAGTACTTTCCACACTTAACTCCCATTGAATTTAATGAGCCAATTTTGAAGGGTCTTTCACATGGGTTTATTGGCGGTTCAGGCCTTAATGTAATCTCATTGGTCTCTTATAGGATTATCTCATGGATTATGATGTAATGGGACAATTGAATTTGGGGCTCAGTTGTCTGACTTTGCGTGCAAATGGACATCATTGAACGCAACCTGAAATCAACCAAATGTAAATGCTAACTTGGAAATAAATTTGTGTTAAAGTTATCAAAGCTAATTGCGTACATGGGAAATGGCCAGTTTCGGAATGTTTATGATGCATGATTAGATTGGATATCAAAGTGAAAGAATAATTTAGGAGAACATCATATTTCATGAATGAAGCCTCATGCTGCTCCAGTCATTACATAAAGGGAGTGTTCTATACTTTTAAGTAAGTAAGTTAAGGCATTATTTGGATTAGTTTATATACTATTAGAGGTTGTCATCTTAAAGATGTTTGTGACAGGTAATCTCTCTTTTGGTGATAGAGATTGGCCTTTATATACATATCCAGCATTTGATTGGTTGGATGATTCCCCCAATCTGTGTCCGTGAATCGTCACTCATCTTTGAATCGTCATCAGTCATACTGATTGGTATGGTGAAATATGGTGATCTATTCAATGCAATTTAGGAAGCATTGATCTTTTGTTTAAATCAAAAAGAGCAATTCTTATTCATTGCATTGAAGTGCAGTATCTAAGGTGTGAACTGGGTAGCTCATGTATCTTATCTCTAGGCCAAGTGGCTAAAGAATATGTTGAGTTTTATAGGTTATAGGTTGAGATAGTACCAAGTATAAACCAGCTAGCTTATCGCTTACTTGTCAGCAGGAATCAAATTAATGGTCACTATTTTGATTCTCTTCTTATTGTTATATTATCTCTCAAACACAAGGATTTTTTAATGTGCTATCTTTACCTTGTAAGTATTAAAGTTAGATTTCATGATTTATGCTTGCTTCGATATTGTAACTTTCTTTTCAAATATAGTTTTATTTCAAAAATATTTTTATTATGATAGTACATATAGAGTAGTTAACAATCAGTTATAGTCATCAAAATATCTACTAAGATCCTGCACATAGTACCTGATAATACGCTACTTATTTTTAAGGGTTTATTATATTGAATTGATTTAGC